TTTCCATTTCTTCCATTTCCTGTCCTTCCAATCAGTACAATCCTCAGACACTTCTGATCATCTGCTTCACCTGAAAATCATCTCTTTCCATTTCCTGTCCTTCCAATCAGTACAATCCTCAGACACTTCTGATCATCTGCTTCACCTTCAGCACCTGAAAATCACATTGATAGAAAAAAAAAAGACTTATTTGAAAACTAGTGTACACGTTTAAAAGGATTAGACTTGCAGAAGCTGGATAACAAAAGCAAATGATAAAACTGAACCTTTAATAATTCAGTAATGATCTGAAAGAACCATTTCTTATAGGTTTCAGAAACACAGAACCTCTTCGTTCCATGTACATTCACACTTTCTGTTCTGTTCCAAAATGAACTGTCTATGGATGCATAATTCTAAGCCCCAAAATGTAAGAAACTTAATTACAGTTCCTCATTTTATTACATTTTCTAGTCTAATTCTAAATCAGCACTGCAGGTATGTGCACAGATTTAATGATACTGCAGGAAAAAAGAAAATAAAAGACAATTTAATTGTAGGGAGTCATACAGATGGTGGAAAATGGTCATGAAAAACTGAATTGGGACTATTTTTTGGCCTAACTATTTGGCCTAACTTATATTAGAAGTGAGGCACTGTAGTTACAGAATACGTTTTACATTCTTGTCAGAACAAACATATGCAGGAACATTCAGCTGCTTTGTGAATGAGTCATAAGTTTAGTCATGACAACTTTCAGAATTAAATCAATATCTTTCACAAGGAGCGTTGATCCCAGAAAGTTGCCACAGAACTGCGAGTGCCTTCTGTGTGAATGCAAACCCGTCCTGAGATTGATACCGGGACTGGTCCGGGGATGGGGCCCTATTGACACTTATGGGATCAGTCCCGTAATGCACCCTGTGTGAAAAAAAGGAAGGATCAATGCCGTAAGGGGTGTGTTGTAGTGATGACGCTGAAGCTGTGATCATTCGCCAGCTAGAATGGTAGGCGATGTGCTAGTTTATGACTGAATCAGGAAAAAAAAAAATGCACAAATGAATGCTGTGGAGACAATACACGTCACATCCTGATGTCACGCATCTCTACAGGATCTTTACGGGATGTGTGTAATTACTTGCTGAGCAAAAAATCAAACGATCCTTGGACAAATCCCAGGACACATTATCAGTGTACTTTCTGGAATCTCTGTAGGGCTTTTCACACACAAAATTGTTAACCCTGGATCATTCTAAACAGAACCTTTGGTTATCTTGCTTCATGTTTCACAATTACTTTACCCTGGGTTAACAGTTAAGCCTAGGTATTCATGAGCTGCCGTTTCACACGGTGCATTCCTAAATCCAAGGTTAAAGTCGTTATTTGCATATTTGCAGTGTCACGCAGCTTTTCTCGCATCAGCTGTCATGTCAGTTAATACATATTGCCATGTAGGTCCTCCTTGCCTGTTTTAAGCCTCCTAAAATGCACAAAGGCAAGAAAACAAGGACAAAAGAAAAGAGAAAGAAAACACAGCAAATTATATGAGTATTTCTTTGAATTTATCTTAAGTGTGGAGAGACTGTCCAATTTCTGATTGGTTGTCTATTGCTAAGCATCCAGCAGTAACATTGTAACATCACTCCGTTTTACATTGCACAAGGTTGGCTCCTCATTTCGGGATTAACACCGCAAAAGAAGTGCTCCAGAGCAGGGTTTCATAACCCTGGTTAAAAAGCAGTGCTATCCCCACTTCTAAATTACAAGTGTGAATCCTTTACCTGGGGTTAAAAGCAGTGTTCAGAATGACGATAAACTCACCCACACAATTCTCATCTCTGGATGTTAACTCCGTAACTGACACTTTATGTTCCACTTTAACTTCGTGTCTAATACAGTATCTGTCTTCTCTCCTCCAGGTCAGTGCATGCTGCTCCCTCTTACCCCTGGTTACCTGATGTTCTTCATGAACATCAGACCAAACTCAGGGCAGCAGAGAGAAAATGGCTCAAATCAAAAAACTCATCTGACTTGAGTATGTATTAATCTCTGCTTCATCGTTTTCTGTTGAAGTCCATGCTGCAAAATCTTCATATTTCCACAACAAGATCAACACCGCTTCAAACACACACAAGCTTTTCAAAACATACAATTCTCTCCTCTGTCTCTTTCCACCACCTCTTTAACTGCTGATGAGTTTGCTACATTCTTCACAGTCAAAACTAAAACCATCAACAGTCAGTTCTCAACTCCACAGGCTAGCCACAGGCACAGCTGCACATCTTCTCAGCTCCTTTTCTTCTCTCACTGAGACAGAAGTATCTAAACTTCTCCTTTCCAGTCATCTTAGCACCTGCCCTCTAGATCCCATTCCATCACATCTTCTACAAGCAATCTCTCCTACACTTTTACCACCACTCACACACAACATCAACACATCTCTTCTCACAGGCACTTTCCCCACTGCATTCAAGCAGGCTCGGGTAACCCCACTGCTCAAAAAACCTACATTAAACACTTCACTTATAGATAGTTACAGACCTGTCTCTCTTCTTCCATTCATTGCAAAAACTACTGAACTAGTTGTTTTCAAACAAGTATCATCTTTTCTTTTACAAAATAACCAGGTGGATGTTAAGCCAACTGATTTCATGATTGCCATTCAACAAAGACTGCATTGCTGTCAGTCACGGAAGCCTTGTGGATTGCGAAAGCAGATTCCAATTCATCAGTTCTCATTCTGCTGGATCTTTCTGCCGCATTTGATTGACACTGTCTCACCTATCTCACAGATAGGTCTTTCAGGGTTTCCTGGTAAAGACTGAGCTTCTCGTCTTCCCTGTCACTCCAACTCTACAGCATGATTTCACCATTCAGCTAGGTTCATCAACAATTACCCCATCAAGTTCTGCCGGAAATCTTAGTGTAATATTTGATGACCAGCTGATTTTCAAAGACCACATTGCAAAAACTGTTCAATCTTGCAGGTTTGCATTGCACAACATCAGAAATATGTGGAGTGGAGTGTGAGAGTGGAGTACATTGTGGCAGTCCAGTATGTCCAGTTGTTCTGTGGTGGACTATAGTTTGTGTAAATAAGTTTCTGGGTTGTTTATTAACAGCGGCTGATATAACTTCAATACTGAACAGTGTCTGGAGGTAGTACTTGATCTTGTTCTGCTTACTTGTTAAGTTACAGATAATTACAAGAGAAAGTTTTGTTTGTATATTGCTGTGATTTAAGAGGGAAGCTATAGGGAGAGAGTGACTTCTTCTTTGAATACTGTTTTTGTACCGTTTTTTGGTACAGTTACGGAGTTGAGGGAAGTTTTTTGTTGTTTATTTGTCTTTTCTTTTGCATTTGAGGTAAGTTAGAGCTGCTCCCAAAATTAGAGTCCTGTTCTGTTTGTTGCTTTAGGCCTTTCTCTCTCCTGAGCCATTGCTCCCGATCTCCTTATGTTAAAGTTACCATTTCTTCTTTGTAACTAAAAACGAAGTTTTTTTGTATATTGCTGAATTGGTGTTCTCCTTCACTTTGGGACAGAGAACTGAAGTTTGTTTGGTAACACTTTATTTTAGGGAATCTTTACTAGTTGCTTATTAGCATGCATATTACTAGAGTATTAGCCATTTATTAGTACTAATTAAGCACATATTAATGCCTTATTCTACATCCCTAATCCGACCCAATACCTAAACTTAACAACTACCTTACTAACTATTAATAAGCAGCAAATTAGGAATTTATTGAGGGAAAAGTCGTAGTTAATAGTGAATAAGTGTTCCCTATTCTAAAGTGTTACAGTATGTTTTTGTTACGTCTTCATGTAGACAAGAAGCACAAAACTGTGTATTCAATACTTTAATAACTACTATGAACAAGCAGGATAACATGCATGGACATACTCAGAATTATTTTCTTACTCTTCTCACTTACTTCCTATGTATATATCTAACTCAAGAAGCTTGATTAATGTAAGGACATCACAGTTTTTGCCTTTTTTTTCCACTTGTTTATGCTTTTCCTTTTGCTACTTCCCCTCCCAACCCCCTAGACAGGAGGGGAACGTAACAAGTGGGGGATCGTCGTCACTTTTTTTAAACTATTGGTGACAATTAGAGTCTCATCTATTCGAGGTAAGTCTCCTTTTTTCGGTGTTTGGCAGTTTTTGGTGGGTGAGGAAACTGTGGTATCTGTGGTAACTGCGGTAACTGTGGTACTGATTGCATACACTCTATCTCCTACAACAGAAGTCTTTGAACGTTGTAGGAAGGCTGATTTATTGTTGATAGCTGACTTTTTTTTAATATCAGTGTTCCTAGGAAGGCAGCAAAGAAAACTATCAAGCAAGTGTTGCATGATAAGCTTGTGGAATCTGGGATTTTATCAGAGTCTGCTTCCATGGAGGCGTAGGAGGTTTCACCTGACGTGGCATTAGGAGCTATGTCAGGTGCGGCCCTTCCTAATGTTGACCCTGTGTTGGCAGTCAAAATGAAAGAGTTGAATATCTCCGGATTAAACAAGAGGAGCGTGAAACATTACTTATTAAGTTGCGTGTTATAGAGGCAGAGACTAACTAAGCTTTAAAGTTACGACAGTTAGAGCTTAAAGATCAGGACCTGAAAAACAGGCCTGTGCCTAAAGCGCGGTCACGTCCTCCTTCTGTTAGCTCCCCTGCTACTGCCCCTCAAAGTTTGCATGTGGTTGGTGCAGATGCGAGTTTTGATGTTAGTAAGAATCTCAAACTCGTTCCACCATTCAGAGAGAGTGAAGTAGACACATATTTTGTCACATTTGAACGCATAGCCACAAAATTGAGCAGGCCAAAAGATGTGTGGGCCCCGTTTCTGCAGTACAGTCTTACTGGAAAAGCCCAGGAAGTCTCCTCTGCTTTGCCCCTTGAGCAGTCTCTTGACTACGATGCCGTTAAAGCCGCTGTATTAAGGGCTTATGAATTAGTGCCAGAGGCGTACAGACAGAAATTCCGATCCCATGCTAAAACTGACAAACAAACTTACATTGAGTTTGCTTGAGATAAGCATGCCCTTTTAGAGAAGTGGTGTTTTTCTAACAGGTGATTCAGAAATGATTCAGAATGCAGCAGCACTCAAAAGAGCCACGTCATATCTCTCTTTATCTCCCTGCACTGGCTACAAGTTGCTTACAGATCTATCACAGGTTCAGCACCCTCCTACTTCCCTTCACTCTTATGAGTTTACATACACACCAGGAGCCTGTGATAGGCAAGTTAGCAACGACTTGTCATGTCATCACCGAGAGACACAACTGCACTTGACCTCATCTTAAATTAAAAAAAATAATAATAAAAAATCTATGCTTTCACTTTCCTTTAATTCCTTACTATTTTAGCTTATGCTACTCTGAGCAATGCCTGGAACTTTGTATTGAGAGCACTTCTTGTGTTTATTTGTCTCTTTATGATGAATTGCTTATTGTATTCCTCATCTGTAAGCCGCTTTGGACAAAAGTGTTGGCAAAATATACCCGGGGTTAAGCGCATGTGTGCAAAACCCTTGTGTGAAACTGGCTATAATGGATAAGGTTTGGTATATGGGGACTATAGATTTGAAGAAGTCCAGTGGTGGATGTGTAGGTTGGTTCAGTGTATTTAATATTTTTGACTTGAATAAACCCATTTTTTCAGAGTATTAATAAGAAAGATTATCGCTGGCATTTAATATGTATTGATCTGCAAATAAGCAAATGTTTTACTACCAACATTTCTATACACTGGAATATGTAGTTCAGTGAGCTTAAATAGCTTACCCTTCACAGCAGATCTAGTACACAAACAAATGACAGTAATTACCTAATTATGGTTTTCATTTTCAATAATCAATGCTAAAATTCAGCATTAGTATCTTCCTTTTTGCACCATCAGTTCTGCTCATGTTCAAATTCTGACAATATCTTGGTTCTTGGTTCATTTTGACCGAATCATTCAATCATTTGTTGACTCAAGAACAGCTACAGTCAGACTGTAAAGGAACCAACCAACAGAGTGCTGCGGGTGTGACGTCAAAACCTAGAAGTTCTTAAAATGGGGTTTTTCAATTTATGAGTAATGTAAGGTCTGTGGTAAACATAACTTGACAATGCTTTGACCTTTATTTCTACAATGTAAACTGCACACACTCACAGCCAAAATGTATGATCTAGTTATTTATTTGAAACGTCAACATAACATTTTCAAAATTTACATTGTACATTTTTACAGCTAAACAGTCAAGCATCAAGTTACGTTTACCACAGGCCTTATTATTTCTCTAACTGAAAACCCAGTTATATAAATATGAAAATCTTCAGGAAACCAGTGGAGATGAAGTCTTCTGCGTTTTTACATCATCCCTGTCATACGACATTCACAAATTGGACAGCACTATTGCATCTCGATTTAGGTTGCGATTTCTTCAGTTCAAAATAAGAAGTAATAATATGTTTTTATGAAACGTAGTGGAGTAAAAAGTATGAAATTTGCTTTGGAAGTACCGAGGCAAAGCTAAAATTTTCCCCAAAAAAAACAGACACATGAAAAATGTACTTGGGTATACAGTAACAAAGTAAAAATAATTAGTTCTTATAATTTGTTAAAATACTTCATTATGAAAATCGTAAACAGTAAGAACACATTAGTTTGTGTATGAATATTACACACTCACCCTGTAATTGAAACTCTTTTATTTTTTTCTCCATTCTCTTCAGTTCTTTTTTATATTTTTCTTCAGTTTCCCGTCTGGCTCTGTTCTCTTGAGCTTTCACATACATCTGAAGTGAATACGGTCCAGCAGTTCTGGGATCTGTCTGGAGTTTTCAGGTTCATTTATCCCCATCATACAGTATCGACCGCCACATCGACTGATTAACTTCTGAGATTCTGGCATGGATGTGACTAAATCTGTCATTATTTTGTTAACAGTGAGCTCAGTTATGAAAAGCACCATGAAATGCTCTCTGGAGTCAAATATCTTCTGGATCTTCTCTATTTCTGCTTTGTTTTCATTATTAAGTGGATCATCAGGAATAATCAGGAGGAAAACATGAACTCCAGGATCACAGAAAGACAAACAGCGTAGAGTCTGACGCCTTACTTCATCCTCTGAGAGCCGAGTGAGAGCTGGAAGCTTCACCAGAGTGATCTGACGGCCATGAAACTTCTCCTCCATCTGACACACAAATCTAAACTCTCTTTGATGTGATGAGAAAAGTGTTTTTTCATCTCTGAAACATTTTGATACTGCATTCTGAGCTGCATCACTTCCACACAACACCAGGTTCAGATTTGGTTTTCTATGTGACCGTAATGACACTGAAAAACATGTTAGGAAAAATATATAATATAAAATATATAATGAATAATATATATTGAAATTAAATGTTGGTCTATTCCTGACACAAATCTAGGATGGTTTGGATTTTTTTTTTTTTTTTTTTGGGGTGAAAGTTAATAAGACAAAGCAATTGCAATTATGCATTCATCTGTTGTTATACTTACTTCACATACTGGTAGGGCGATCACCACTTTCACTCCTCCTCCTTATTCCTGTAACAAAAATAGGGGCAACATAAAACAATGAGCAGGTCTAAGCAGGGCAGTTTCTAGGTGGTCCTCTATGGTGCCATCAGCCAGAGGAGGCACCAGCGACTACCCCGACACTACCGTTAACATATTAGCAAGAATATGTGTGTCAAGTTCATTTAAACAGCTGGATATTTGCAAAGAAAGATGTAAATTAATACAATAATAATGATAGAATAATAGCCTACAATCATTTCTGATCTCTATTATTCTTTCTTTTATTATATAATTTATATAATTTTCAAAATTAATGGCAGCATCAGCAAATGATTTTTCAGCTGACAATACAAAAGAAAAAAAAAAGGGTAATGGTTAGGTAATACCTAAAGCTGTCTCCTATGAATCTAATCAAATGTACCTAATCCTAATCTAATCAGAATTTATTGCTTAAACATGTATAGGGATATCATTACTTACAGGATGTAGTAAATAAACAGCTTGAAAACATTTTATTTTTGCAATTTCATTTGGTGGAGATGGCACAGACCTACTTGGTCATGTCCATTTTTTTAGATTAAACTAAGGTGGATATAAAAGATAGGACACACAATAAAAGCCAGTACATGCACTATAACTATATGCCAACAAACACAAATTCCACAGCAATGGAGTGGTAGACCCTTTTTAGTAAATTTTAGTAAATAAATCGGCATTTTATTAATGTCAGTGCATTGGCTTTGGTGTTTCTTATAGCATATTAACTGATTTAACACTTTTTTTTTTTGCTTTCATTTCCTGGTTTGAAAGATATTATTGAACATGAAATGGAATCTACAAACATTAAAAAAAGAAACTAAAATAAAATATAAGACGAACTGTAAATTGTTGCCTATAGTGGGATTTCACTAAGATAAATCAGGGAAGAAACAACAAACTAGCATTTTAAATATTTTGTAGAATTCTTACCTGTACTGTCCGCCATGTCAAGTGTGCACTGGGGCACCTACTACTGACACACCTGGAACTTTGAACCTTGAAACACAGAGATAAAAAACATCAGAATCAGAATCAGAATGAGCTTTATTGCCAGGTATGTTTACACATACGAGGAATTTGTTTTCGTGACAGAAGCTTCCACAGTGTAACAGAATGACAGTGACAGAACAAAAAACACAGATAATAAAAAATGAAAATAAAAAAAAAATAAAAAATAGAACAAGTAAAATAAGGAATAAAAAAATATACAAATCGACAATTGTATGTACAGGTATAGAACAATAGACAGTTGTATGTACAGGTATATTATGTGCAAATTGAAATGTAGACTGTTTACTGCATCGTCCACAGACCTGTTTGCTCTGTAGGCAAACTGAAGAGGATCCAGTAAGGGTCCAGTAATGTCCTTCAGGTGGGCCAGCATTCAGGTTTGCTTGTGCAAACACTATAGGGTTAAATTTTTTCTTTAATTTCATGGCTATTTACCAGCACTAATCATCACAGTTTCTCCAAATATAAAGACATATTTCTTGATGTTGTGAAATGCATTTCTCTATTAAATGATAATTGAATACGTTTTAATAATAATAACAATAATAATAATAATAACTACTGTAAAGTCAATCAAAAAAAATAATAATAATAATGAGATGAGCAGAAACACAACTGGCTTCCAGCCTCAGATTAAATGAATTGTATATGAAAGAAGACATGGAATCTCTCAAGATCTCAGCAGAGGAGGATTAAACAACTCCACAAGCAGCATTACCAGCTTCACACATTACTAACCAGATTCACAATGATTACTATGCAAAATTCATAATGGATAGAAGCGGCACACATGTGATCAATGTGGCAAGAGCTTTGCACAAGCAAACAGTCTTTAGGGACATCTGCGTTCACACTCTGGAGAAAGACCATTTAACTGTGATCAGTGCAGCAAAAAATGTGCTAGGGCAGAAAACC